CCACTACACAAAACACCTGCTGTGCTGCTGCTACTATGACTAATTAGAGCACAATTGTACTGGTTGATGGTTTGAAGCAGTGTGGCAAAGTGTGAAGCCCTTGGATGTAAAAAGGCTTTTCCGCCTCACAAGTCCCCCCATGGAACATAACCTAATGTGTTTAACGCACAGGATGGATCTCCTTATCTTATTATCCACAGTATTATGTATTGATAAATCCCTTAACAAGGGCCAATTAGGTTATGAAGTATTCATAACCATAATCTTTTCTCGCTCCCTCTGTCTCGGTGATGTGAACCATTTGAGGAGCAAGTGAGGCAGTCAGGCAGCGGGCCAACCAGGCGTGCTGACAGCAGAAGCGCGGACAGCTGTTTTGCCGTAGCTTGATGCGAATGCATGCTATGCAGTTGTTCACAGCTCTCATGGGAAATCATCATCAAGGCTTTTATTTATGTTCACCAGTCGTTTGATCTGTGGATGTTGGATAAAAAAGAGAAAAAAAAAGAAGGGAGGGAGGGAGCAGAGACTGGTTTGTGGCCTACTGACGGCTGACACTGTCCACCCATTCCCTATTCATCTCTCCTATTTCTTCATTTTTCCCATCTCTCCCTTTTTTCCCACATTCCTGGGATGTCTCCCATTTTCCTTTGCTCTAATTGCTGCCTTAGTAAACTGTGTCAGCAAGTGGAAATAGTTTTGATAAGCATTTGCATCTGTAATTTGATGGGTTTCAGTAGGGACACATAAACTCAGACGCCACCAGAGCTTACGTGGCCACATCACAGCCTCGGGGTTGGTCGAAACTATTTTTAGGCCCATCACGCTGGCCCGCTGGCAGCCACATCATTTTGGTAAGCCGCCGATTGAAATCGATCTGGCTTGGTTGAGCTGGTTCTCCGTGCCAGGGAAATCTTAGAGACTGAATTTGTCAAGCCTCCCGCTGGGGTTAGATTCCCCAACATGTCTGCATGGGTGCATAGAAGCTACTTGTATTATGTTCTCTGTAAGCATGTCGACTTCAGCAGTGTCCTCATGTAATCTTCCAGTTAACCCTCCTCTAGAGCAATATAAGCCGCTGTACTAAAAATGAACGATTTGCATGTAGATATCAGATGAGAGTGAATACAAATATTTTGAATAACCCGGGTATTTACCGGAGAAAGCCATAAAGCCATCGACTCACAGTGGTAGAGAGGACTACTCTAATAAATTGCTGTAATTTACATTAATACTGCACAATGCATGTAATATTTTTGTGAATATAGTTGTACAGGGTGGGCCATTTATATGGATACACCGTGATAAAATGGGAATGGATGGTGATATTAAAGTCCTGTTTGCGGCACATTAGTATATGTGAGGGGTTTGCAAACCCCTCACATATACTAATGTGAGGGGTTTGCCTGGGCCCACCCTGTAGGGCCCACCCTGTAGAATATAATGTAATAGTGTTTGTGAATAAAGAGGAATACTGTAAATGCCAATGCGGAAAGGAAATATGAGGAATTCCCTTTCATTTGAGGAAAATATTAACATCTGATCTACTGTCCAATCCAATGCTTAAGTTATAATCATTCATTTTTTTAGTGTTCTGATGGGTACTTGCTTGCATCCATCCATCCATCCATCCATCCCTCCATCTTCTGCCACTTACCAACCTAAGCTGACAAGCCCAGACATCCTCGCCCCAACATCCTCCTCCAGCTTTCCAGTCACCAAGTCATTCCCAATGCAGATAAGAGATGCAATCTCTCCAGTGAGTTCTGGGTCTGCTCCTGGTGGGACCTGCCACCTAACCTACAAGACGTCCAGGAGGATTCCTAGTGAGATGTCGAAACTCTTATGGTTTCTATTGAGAGTTCTCGTTGAGACGAGGGCAGGAACACAGAAAATTGACAGCTTTGTTTTTACACTCACCTCTCTCTTCACCACAGTGCACCTGTACAATGTCGCCATTGGTGCTGACAGTAGAGCAACAGTCTGTCCGTCAATCTTCCACTCCAATCTCCCATCACTCATAAACAAGACTTCAAGATACTTAAACTCCTCCATTTGGGGCAACAACTCTCCCCTGACCCAGAGTGGGCATTCCACATTTTTCCCGTTAAAAACCTCAGACTAATTTTTATTGTCATTATTTCATTCATGTTCTACTGCGAACCTCCGCAGTGAGACGAAGTTGAAAG